GAGGTGAAGTCACGGGGTCGGGGAGGACACGCCGAGGTGACGTCATGGGGTCGGGGAGCACACGCTGAGGTGAAGTCACGGGTTGGGAGGACAGACGGAGGTGAAGTCACGGGGTCGGGGAGGACAGACGGAGGTGAAGTCACGGGGTCAGGGAGGACACGCCAAGGTGAAGTCACAGGGTCGGGGAGGACACACTGAGGTGAAGTCACGGGTTGGGAGGACTCACGGAGGTGCAGACACGGGGTCGGGGAGGACACGCTGAGATGAAGTCACGGGGTCGGGGAGGACACGCTGAGATGAAGTCACGGGGTCGGGGAGGACACACTGAAATGAAGTCACAGGGTCGGGGAAGACACACGGAGGTAAAGACTCGGGGTTGGGGAGGACACACAGAGGTGAAGTCACTGGGTTGGGAGAATGCACAGAGGTGCAGACACGGGGTTGGGAGGGCACACTCACATCTGAGCATTTGTGATCTTGCCATCGGGGGCAGGATCTTGTCCCAAGGGACCCCTACAGATCTGTCGGAACTCACCTATCAGGGTGAAGACTATGAAAAAGATAGCATAGGCCCGGTTCTTGGAATACGCAGGAGTCATAACTGAAAGAAATTGGAGAAACTGAAACACACTCACAACCTCAGGCTCTGATCTAATTCCCATCGTGGCCCCACCCCATTTGCCCTCTCAACAGAAGAAGGGCTCTGGTTGGGAGACCTAGGAGGCCTTCCTGTCCAAACGCCAATCCTCACACCTCTGCTTCCACACGCTTGCAGTGGGGGACCCTCCCTTACACTAAGCTGAACCCTGCTTCCCGTGAACGCCCCACACACTGAAAGCTCAGCTCTCCCTCAGGACAGAGATGCAGGAGTCCCTACGACTCACAGGACATGTGGGGACAATGCTCAGGGTCACACTGCACAGCTCTCCCTGGCTGTGGAAGCTGGGCGCTACCCTCCCGGGAAGGTCTCTATCATGGGGGATCATCCCTGAGCCCAAGATGAAAGTCACGAGCCAGGGTGGCCAGGCCACAGCCAGGCCCTAGAGGCCCGCAGAACCCCATCCTGCCCACCACCCTGGCCCACGCAGAGAGGCCCCAGCAGCAACCCCAAACGTGAGCACCTCAGCCACCTAAGACCAGGGCCTATCACCTCAGGGCCGAGCCACACTGCACAGCAGGGCCTGGGTAGTGACAGGGAAAGTGGCTGGGCCTCAAAGAGGAAGCCACCAGGGAACCTGCCAACCACGCCATTGGTCACCCTGCTCATTCTTAGCTTCTCGGAGTCAGGAGACAGGAAAAGAGCAGGCGAAGGGAACAGAGGAAAAAGGAGGGAGGGAGCGAGCATAGGAGTGAGGTGGGAGGAAAATGGAAGAAAGAGCAAAGAGGCAGGAAAGAGAAGGGAAAGGACAAACAGTGAAAGAAAAACAAGGAAGGAGCGAGGGAGAGAACCCAACGTCCTCCTTTTCATGCTCCACCCAGAGATAAAAAAGCCTTACACACTCCTGCCTCCCAGAGCCTCGTGCCTCCCAGAGCCAGATGCTGAGGCTCCGCGTTAACCACACCCATGCCCAGGCCCTGTGCCCCCTCCTCACACACCGTCGGGGTTGTTAGCGGTGGTCAGCAGCACCAGGAGGGAGGTCAGAGCCTCCGGCAGGTTGTGAAAGTACATCAGCCTCTCCCGGTCCTGCCCATCGCCCTGCTGAGAGCAAACATGGCAGCTGTGAGGGGCCGCCGGGCCTCTGCCGCCCCCCCAGCTAAGGCCTGAAGCTGCCAGAGCTCCATCCACTGTGGGGTCAGTGTCCCCTAGCCTGCACCTCCCATCATTTCCCAGCAGAGTCTGCATTCCCGGCCAGACGGGACCTAACTCAGGGCCTCTGTGCCCAAGAGCCAGCGTCCAGGGAGGCTGCACACCCACAGGGACGCCGGCCTCTGCAGCGGGTCTGCTCAGAGCCCTGGGGAAAAGCCTTCAGCCGCCCTGGCTGAGAAACACCCAGAAAGAGACAAGCACACGCCATTAATTACACAACCACTTAGACAAATACACACGGCCATTCACAGACACACACAGACAGTGCACACCCAGGTACAGACACACGCCCAGCACACACAATTACACACACACAGACACCCACTCAAAAGAGAATTACAGACACGGGAGCTCCGGCTCTTCCGGAATCAGAAGGGACAGTCTCCAGTTCTCCCTCCTGGACAGGACAGCCTGAGCCCCCCAGTACTGCTGCAAACTCAATGGGAATCAGCCTTGGCTGACCCCCCCGGCCACGTTTCCAGGACAGAGATGCAGGACGGCTCCAGCCCTGAGGACAACAGTGACCCCGGCCAGGACATGAGGAAAGACACACTGGACCACAGATGCTTGGGGGCGGGGGGGGGACGGGGACCGGCGTGAGAGGTGGCCGACACCTCCACACAGCAACAAGCCGCTGGGGGCCAAGAAGCAGGGAGGAGCGGGAAGGGGACCCAGGGGGAGGGCAAAAGCCCCCAGCTGGAGAAGACGTGGAGGCAGGCACTGTGGGGCGGACAGTGGTGCGGTTTACCCGATGGCCCCATAGGCCAGTCTGAGGGCGCCTCCATCTAACAGGGGTGTAGAAAAAGCTGGGTCAGTGACAGGGCAGGAAAGGGAGAAGAAAGGAGGGAGGGAAGGAGCGTGGGAGGGGCCGCCAGGCTGACTAGCCCTGAGCCCGGGAGGCCCCAGGGACGGGCACACGAAGACTGGCCACTCGAAGAGACACCTGGGCTCTAGGTGGGCCACCACTGACCCTGGTTATGGGGCTAGCGCAGGCAGCCTAGCCGGTCCTCCACCGCTGCAGGCCCGACAACTACCTGGAGGACTGGGCCGACCTGTCCATCAAAGCCCTGGGCTCAGGCTGGGGACGCAGCAGAGCACGGTACCTTCTCGCCTGTGAAGAGCAGCATCCCGAACATGGTGAAGACACACAGGTGGACCACCAGCAGCAGCAGGACACTGGGGAGAGGGATGTGGGTGCTCAGCACAGGACACACGCCCCATGCACCAAATGGGACAGGGGTCTAGGGACAGCCGGCCCGAGCACTCAGGGAGCTCCCTGCCCCAGAGCCTGACCTGCGCTCAGCTACTGGTCCTGCCCTAGGGAGCCCTCTTTCCTTGGCAGGGACAATCAGTTCCCCAGGGGCATTTCCTGGGGCCCCAAGGACCCCTGGACTCTCAGAGGGGAAAGGCCACATCCATCCATCTGGCTGGACGGTGAGGGGTCAACCATGAGAGCCACTGCGGGAAGGGGACTGGAGGCAGAGGGAGGCCAGGGGACAGAGAACTGGGGCGTGGTGGGGGGGTTGGGCGGAGAGTGGGGGAGGTGGTCACAGCCACAGCGGGGACGGAAGGGGAGCATCCACAGGGCTCTGCAGCTGTCGAGCAGAGGGTACAAGGCCACTAAGGGGCTGCCAGGAGGCCCCCGAACACCCACTCGCTGGCTTCCCCAGGCCGGGGCCCGCCATGCCCCAGGCCACAGTCCCGGTGCCCCCCGATGGCACAGCAGGGAGCCCTGGCACCGAGAGCCCACCTGGCCATTTCCGGCAGCGAAGACCTGATACACTTGAGCGTCTTCTTCATCAGGGACGAGTTCTGCATCAAGAAGAAGGGGCGCAAAAGCCTCCGAATCCGCAGGGGCTGAAAGACAGCAGGAAGGGGCTCTCCAATTCCACCCAGGCCCGAGACCAGAGGTGCCGAAGAGCCCCCAAGCCCCGCTCTGACCCCTCGCGGCCTCCCGCTCACAGCCCCGGCCTCCTTGTCCCCACGCTCCCCCATTCCGGCTCCGCTTCCACCCAGGCCCGAGACCAGAGGTGCCGAAGAGCCCCCAAGCCCCGCTCTGACCCCTCGCGGCCTCCCGCTCACAGCCCCGGCCTCCTTGTCCCCATGCTCCCCCACTCCGGCTCCGCATCCTCCCCCCACCCCTGCCAATGGGCCACCCTCTCCCATCAGCCCTGCAGCCACAGCGCCATGGGGGTGCTCCACACCTCCCTACGAAGCTCCTCCCCTGCCCCCACCCCTCCCAGCTGCAGCCCCACCCCTCACGCACACACAGCCGCGGGCCGCACTCTGCACCTTGCAGCGCCCGCCTGCAAACACATTCACACTCACCCTCCGTGTGCACGCCCTACACGTGCACACCCTCTGCACACATGCGCACACACGCACACACGGGTGCACACACAGGCCCCCGTTTCCTCCTTCCCCTCTTCCTTCCTGTCAGAACCAGAGAGGCCCTCCCACCCCCAGTCTGCAGGACCACCTAGCCTCAAGGGCTTCCCTCGTGCCCCTCCACCCGGCCCCCACGTCCCTGCCCCTGACCCAGCCAGTGCTCCTGTCTGGGGTGCTAGCCCCAGCCTCAGTGACCCCCGGGTCCGAGTCTGCCCAGCGCCTTGGGCCATCTCCCCCGTACCTGACCCCCGAGTGCGGACGCCCGGAGCCCCTTCCTCTCCTGTGTGGCCTCTCGCCTCGGGGAACTTGTCAAGCCGCACGGTTTGTTCTTGTCTCTTTTTGGTGGTTCATATCTTTTATACGAAAGCAGAGCTACCTTCTCTCTTGCAATCACCCCATCTCCTGGGCCGCGTGGTTGTAAGTGTCATGTTTATGCTCCATGGCCCATCCCAGCGCTCAGCTCGACTCCCGCCCCGCTGGGCACCTTGTCCTAGAAGGCCAGCTGACCACGGCCCCTCCCTGCCCAAGGCCTAAGGACGGCCTGGAGGCCCACTCTGGCCCGTCCAGGGGCTGCCACCCACCGTCCTGCCGGCTGCAGCCCTCAGCCCACCCCTCTGCTCAGCAGGCGGGCTGTCCCCGTCCCTCCATGCCGGCGTAAATGCCACCTCCTCTGGCACGGCAGCCGTGGCACTGCGGGACGCCGCGACGTATCTGGGGCTTCCGTGTTCTAGAGGGCTCTCTCACAACAGAACGAGAGCCCACCAGCACTGACTCACGGCGGACCCTCCAGGCTGTCCACAGGATCCGGGATCCCAAGGCCCGAGTCCACCTCCCTGGCTACACACATTCTCAGAAGGGGGCCCAGCTCCCGGCACAGGACCAGAAAGCCCAAGAAAACAGCAATAAGTGGACACCCAGGGCTCCGCCCACCCGCCCACCCGCCCCCGTGGGCTGAGGGACCAGCGTCCCCAGCTCACCCATAACCCGCTCACTGCCCTTGGATGGAACCTTGTCTCAGCGCCCATATCCCGAGTTCCTCAGCCACCCCTCTAGGCCAAGCAGCGGCTGAAGGTCCTACTGTCACCTGCCCCCAGGGTCTTGGACCCTCACCTGTAATCAGACATGGAGCAGGGTGCAGCTCATACCTCCTGCCAGAGCCCTCCCCATGCTGGGCCCACATCAGGGTCATGGACACAGGGACATGCGGCCTCTATGAAGGATGGGGAGGTACCGCCACAGGACTCGACACCAATGAGCAGCCCCTGGTGAGGCCCACACAGAATCACAGCCCACCAACTAAGCTGCAGATACCTTGTCTCCCAGGAGAAAGAGCCACAGCAGAGTCGTGACCACGGCCTACCCAGTGACCGGTAGACCATGTATGATCGGACCCTCTGGGCCACAAGGTAGAAACAGACAGAGAGACTAGGCTGGAGCAGCGGGAGGCCCATGGTCCGCCCCACCCGCCCTCCCTCCCCCGGGGCCCGTGTGAGTTCTTTATGACTGGCCAGCTGGCCACAGAACCTCAGGCCTCGTTTGGAGACGGTTCTACCCAGAAGCGGAGCACGTGCCGCGCTAGGCCTCCATCAGGAACCCCCCCGCCCCCACCCGAGGTGGTGCTGAAAGGAAAGCACTTTGGTGGCCAGGGTCCACCCTGTCCGTACCGAGAAAGGTTAACACTTCCCGCGTGGCGATCAGGGCACAGAAAGAACAGGCCAGACAAGTGGGGACAAGGTCCAAGAAGCATGCACGTGGACGGGCAGAAGGAACGCCGAGACAGATCATGTCCAGTAATGTCCGAGCCTTGGCCCCCAAGGCCACCATGGATGGGCTGCCCTCTAGAAGCAGAGCTCAGCTCCGCTTACCCACCCCGATGTGGCCCCCTGGCAGCTGGGAGGTGACTGCGATGGGCCCCGTCCCCAGGCAGGGCGGTGATCTGCCCTCACTGGACAGGCAAGCACGTGCACCAGAGGCTCTGAGCACCAGGACAGAACCGAACAGCAACTCCTCCTTTTCCCAGCCCACAATTCAGTGCCCTGCCGCTCTGGAAACGTCCACCCCGGGGTGGGTGTTCCACCGGGGACACACCGGAAGATTCATGAAAAGCAGGGTGGGGTGCTGGTGGGCACGCACCGCTCTGACTGCCAAGGACAGACTGGGGTGCGGCTGCGCAGAGGGGCAGGGAGGTCTGGGTCGGGGATCCTGAGGCTCATCCAGAATGAAAGACTAACAGAAAACTCCAGGAATCACAAAAGGCAGCAGTACCGAGGACACGGACTGGCCAGGAATGAAGGTCTGGGTCCCCATTCAAGGTGAAGAAGCCAGAGGAGCCAGGGAGCCGGCTGAGGCCAAGGGCACAGGGACCCTGAGCAGGAGGAACTTATAAGGATCAGTCAGGGCTGCAACCAGTAACAACGCAAGTCTGAGGAGCTGCTCGCAGCTTTCCTTGCCTATTGCACAGACGCGGGTTTGTACCCGTTCACGAAGCTCTTTCCTGAGAGGAAGTGGAAGGCGGGCACTGTGCCGTCCATCCTCCCCACCGGCTCCCCTTCAGCAGCCTGCTTACTCCTGCCAGGGACGACACCGGGGAGGGGCTGGGAGGCCGGAGGGGGAGACGCGACTGCTCCCTGCCATCCCCTTGCTGGCCCCAGGGCGGTACCCATGCCAGGGGCTGCCAGCCTCCTCTTCCTTCAGCGCTGCCAGAACCAAGCAGTCTCTGGAGGGGCCCAGGGGATCTGCATCCCTCCAGGGCCCGGAGGGCGGGGAGCCAGCTCTGGGGGCCCCTGCCCCTGAGCTTCCTACAGCTTCCCGCCCCGCCGCCCCCACCCTGCCCCTGTTCTGCTTTGGCGGTTACTCAACACCTGTTTAAGCTTCTATGTGAATTCTCTTGGCTAAAGTGCCCGACGGGCTTGTGTCCCTGACTGGCCCTGATGGACCAACTTTCTTTCCCCGCTTCTGTCCTATCTAGTCACAGGGCAGTGCGTCTGGGTGGGGGGCAGGACGGGACACTGGGCTGACACGGGCTTTTTCCCACTGCAGCCCACCCAGAGCTTCGGCCACGTGGCCAGGGCAAGGCCCTAGGGCGGCAGGGGACCCAGCCGGTCGAGGAGCTGAGCTGGAAAGTGGCGAGGCAGGGATCAGGAGTCCTCGTGCCCTCCCCAGGCCTCACTGTCTCCTTCTACAAAATGGGACAAGGCCCCATGGCCAACGGCTGACTGAAATGCTAGGAGGGTGGGCAGGGGGCAGGGGGCAGGCCACCCAGAGCTTCCTGCTCCCACCTCCAAGCCGCCGCACTACCTGCCTCCTGGCAAACCAGACTCAGCGACACGATCCAGTCCATGAGAGACACGACCAGCACTCCAAGGTAGGCCAGCAGCCAGAGGTTCATCCGGAACTGGGCCCACCCAACCAGGTAGCTCTGCAAGAGAGGCGGGGGGGGGGGGGGTGAGGGACCGAGCGGGTGAGCGGGCAGCCCCGCAGCAGACACCAGCCCCATAGCCAGCCCGAGGCCGTCAACACGCCTGGCTGAGGCTGGGGCAGCCAGAGCAGAGAGCGCTTCGGCGAGCGGTGTGGTCTCCTCGTGACTTGGGGAGCAAGAGGCTGAGCTCCCCACCCAGCCCGCTGGTGACCTCGGACAGCCAGTGATCTTGGGCTCAGCACTTAACCACTCCGGCCCGCTTCCACATCGGTAACAGGGTCTGAGCCGTCCTGCCCATCCCAACCACCAGTTTAGCTTATGCCCAGGAACCATTCTAGAAAAAGCCATTCTGGAAAAGAGGCTTTGCCAATTGAAGCTCTAACACTACACATGCTCCACTTCTGGTTAGGGCTGGCCCACACCCAGAACCGTCTATAAACCAGGCCTGAGGGACGCCTGGGTGGCTCAGTCAGTTAAGCATCTGCCTTCGGCTCGGGTCATGATCCCAGGGTCCTGGGGTCGAGCCCTGCACCAAGCTCCCTGCTCAGCAGGGAGTCTGCTTCTCCCTCTGCTCCTCCCCGTTTGTGTGCGCTCTCTCTCA